TTCTGGAGGCTGTGAACGACACAGCGTGACATTCAGTTTCAGTGGTAAAGTACTGGAAAGAAAAGGGAAATGATGAGAAGGACGAGATGATGTGCATGGAGAATCTCGCCTGCTGAGCCAGACAGACATTAGCATAAGTCATACATATCAGCAGAGGAGAGCACCGGTCTTTGCTTTAATAGTTCAGGACAGTTTGGATGACAGGAGAGGCAGGTCTACTTGAAAAATGACTGGACTGACAGCAGGGACATATGGGCCCCGTGTTTCACCTCCGACAGTTTAGAAAAAACACCCAGAGCCTCTGTCTATAAACAGACGACAAACACGCATGTTTGAAGTCAGACCCTCAGCTGACTAATGCAGCCACTTGTTTTTATTAAAGTGTTTGTGAAGGACAACGACTACCACTGCACGTGCACACACACACACACAGCTCATCCACTTGTGTTGACTTCTCCCTGTGTTATTGATTGGCCTCCTCCTCCTCTGGTGTTCTCTTTAACAACAGCTCCTCTCAACAATCCATAGAGTAAATAAAGGTGATGCTGATGAGAGGCGAACGGAGAAGTGAGGGATTTATAATAAGTTAAGAGAATTTGGGGGTAGACAGGATGGGGTAGGGTGTGGTTGTGGGTTGAGAATTTGATTGCTCTGTGAGCAGAAAGGTGATTTCAAGGTTGATTGGGAACAACAAACAATCTGGAAGAACATTCTGAGGAGCAGCCAAAACGTCAGCCTCTCCCCCTCGTCCCCCTCCTCATTAAGTATTTGAAAGATGAAGAGGTTGTGTCAATTGTAAACACTGCAGTGAATTTTTGTGACTATTATTTATCACTGTAATATTATATTAGTATTTTTGTAATTACAAAAGTATTTAAGATTTTCTTTATTTTTCTACGTTGACCTACCTGTTTGGTAATCTTTAAAATCCTCTTTTAGATTGGAAGGTTATTCAGTTCATGATACTTTTCCACTATGTTCGGTCATTTGTCTCAAGGGTTGTTGTTTTTTTCACCCATATCTCATTTTTTTTGACCTACTTTTTCTGGTTTAGGGCGTTTGTTTGGGAAAAGTTCAACTGCTCCACTAATGTAGCTTATTGATCACGTATTAACCTCGAGACCAGAGAAAATACTGTAGACATTGTATTTAAGGTGTATACAGTATAAAAATGTTTATGTAGCTTAAGAACACATACTGTATTATCAAGGACATCTGATAAAAACATAAAACTTAAACAAATATTAAAGAGAAAGGAGGAAAAAAGGTTGCTAAAGCATCAGACTGAGATGTCAGGTGGTCAACAGAAGGACAAGAAGTAGACAAACAGAGTGTGATTATGGAAGGGCTGAAAAGTCTGCTGGTAGATGTGGCGCTCAGGGGGAGTTCAATTACACCGTGACCCTGTTAAGATTTCACAGGCTGGGGACTACAGAGCAATGAGAAGAGAGGGTGAGAGGGTGGGGGGGAGTAGAGGGGGAGTTTGGGAAAAGATTATCAACCTGTGCTCCATCAGTCACACTGGCTCCTGCATTTGGAGAGGGCCGTCCTGTGCCAGGAGGTGGAAGGAGCAGAAAACTGTGTCCAGCTGACAGGAGGTGTGAGCATATGCAAACCTGCTCATAACCTTTCTGTCCTTCACACACACATACACACACACACACACACACTCCTGTAACCTCCCTTTATGCTGTTCCATTGACACATAAAGCAGCGTGTTGGTTATTTCTCCTCACATTGACACATAAAGCAGCTAAAGCAGCGTGTTGGTTATTTCTCCTCTCCACGCTCACTCTTACTTTGGTGACTTGACACGAAATCTCTAGCAAGAGTGCTTTGTGTGTGTGTGTGTGTTTGCATTTGTGTGTGAATGCACAGGTGTGTGTTTGAGCAGAGCGACGGTTGTGCTGAGGTGAGCCGATTCTATCAGACTGAGTGTGACAGGCCAATCTGTGACCAACCATTTGCTGTGACTGGGAAGATGTCCAGGGTGTTAATGGGTTTGTGTGTATATGTGCACAGACACACACATACACACAAACTTGCGGACACTTAGGATTCAAATTGTAAGTGCATTCCAGCTGGCAAATGAATGCTCATTGGTTGTCCCTAATTTACTGTTTTTTTAAAGTGATGATCCTTCTGCTTATTCTCTGGACAAATTATTTTTAATTAAACAAATGCACAGCTTTGCAGGATCTACCATATGGCCAATGGATGCATAGTGTTTGCATAGTCAGTGCAGTATAGCAGCATAGGTTTATACCTGGGTCTGCAATACAAAAGTTGAGGGAGAAGCAACGTTAGACTCAAAGGAAACAGCAGTAAAGTATGTTAGAAATGTTACTGCATTAGATGGTGAGTTTGTTTTTTTTTGTCATCTCATTTCAAATTTCACTCAAGTCACTCTTGTCAGTGTCAAGGGCTGAGGTTGGTGGAGCTCTGCCCCTCAGAGTCCTGGCACTGCCCTCCAGCATCTGTGCTCTCACCAGGCTTTGGTTACAGGGCTGGTAAACAATGCCACTAGTTGGGTCTGGTAATGGATCTAAAGGGGGTTCTGGCACAAGGCCGAGTCCCGGGACAGCAACCTGAGACGTGACCTGACTTGTGTTTAGGAGCCCCTGAATACTGAAATACTGCACGAGATAGAGGACTGGGCACTGGGCCAGGCGTCAAAGACACAGAAGAGACTTGAAACCCAGACGCAGCACAGACCCCAAACTGTCTGTTTACTGTTGGGGAGGCAGCAAGGAAACAAAATAGTTCTCTTTTTTTTAATTGCTTGGAGTCACATGGACAAATATTGTATGTAGAACAGCAGCACTTACATGTTGTGAAGCACACACCAGCCACAGTGGGGATCTCCTGAGCCAAGGCATTCACTGCAGGTTGTGTACTGACCACAGGCCTCCACTGGTACCCTGGACAGCTGAGGAGACAACACAAAGCACAATGTTACAGCTGGTACATCATTTATAACCAGAGATGAACATGTTCATGTTCATTCAGCAATTGGCTCTAACAATAAGTAGATGTTAAATGCATAAGGCAATATAAGGAAAACAAATTCTAACAATAAGTAGATGCATAAGGCAATATAAGGAAAACAAAATATATTTACTGAAGCAACAGTCCTTTTAGAAATCTCATTTAAAAAACCACTTTCACTCTTTGGTTACACCATTTTAAATCAGAGATAAATGTTCTCCAATCAGTTCCATTTTCTTAGAGCAGTATTTCTTTTTTTTTTCACCAGAAAACAAATTAGTAAGAATAAATGAGCACAAATATGAGAGCAACTGTGTTTGTGTGTTCAGTTACAGGACTTAAAGCCTTGTCATGCTTTAATAAATTCAGGCTTGTGTTTGATCCACACCAGTGGCTCGGGTGATTCATTACAGTTAATAATAGAGATGCCACTGGTATCATTCAAATACCAGTATTTTTATATGCAATGCTGGAACATGGAAATGATGCTGATCAGTTTCAGAGACACTTCAGTGGAAACGGTATAAGGACCAACAATAAAAGTCTGCATGCTGTGGAGTGGAGAGGTTTCAGACAGATCAGTCTGCTTTGACAGATTCACTAGTGGCCGCACACGGACGGGAGGGGGGGTGGGGTGGTGGGGGTTCACCCCAGAAAGCCATTATGATATATGGTCCTGCCAATTCAAACTGGCGCT